AATGCACATATGGACACAACAAGGCCTAAACTCCATCATGGGTAATCCGGAGTGTCGGCGACAGGGAATTGAGACACGTTCCGTCACTCGTAGTACGAAACGTCCCTCGTTTCCCGTGCTTGGGCTAACTCCTATCCCAAGCACTATGCAATATGCATGACATGCATGAATGTGATCCTAACATGCATCCCAGCATACACAATGCTATGAAATGACATACACAATGCATAATATAACGAGGCATACACAATGCTCTAACATACAACCTAGCATACACAGTGCTGCGAAATGAAATGGCATACACAATGCACGATGGACTTACACCAACATGAGTGGACCTCAGCCACACTCACATTAGTGGCCATTAGATGAAAATGAGACTATCAAAATGCGTGCACACATGCGTGCAAACTGAGGACCGAACCTAAGGCATAGTATAGACACGTTCCGTCACTCGTAGTACGAAACGTCCCTCGTTTCCCGTGCTTGGGCTAACTCCTATCCCAAGCACTATGCAATATGCATGACATGCATGAATGTGATCCTAACATGCATCCCAGCATACACAATGCTATGAAATGACATACACAATGCACAATATAACGAGGCATACACAATGCTCTAACATACAACCTAGCACACACAATGCTGCGAAATGAAATGGCATACACAATGCACGATGGACTTACACCAACATGAGTGGACCTCAGCCACACTCACATTAGTGGCCATTAGATGAAAATGAGACTATCAACATGCGTGCACACATGCGTGCAAACCGAGGACCGAACCTAAGGCATAGTATGCCACTCTACCTAAAGCATGGCAAGGCATGGAACATGACTCTAACAAGGCATGGCAAGGGATGCAAGATGGCATACAAACTCACAAATTCCAGCACTGAAATATGATGCTAAACAGCCCCAAAACATGGAAAAAAAGGGCACCCGGTGCATGAGATGAACCCCGAAACTTGAAACTGGGCACATGGAATGACTTATAGCTATACAAAGCATGCATTATTTGATCATGAAGTCTGAAGACAGAGCCAAGGCAGTCCCAAAACATGAACATTTCCAGTTCAAAGCATGGCCAAAAGATGCTAGCAAGATGGGCTAAAATAGCATGCAACTTTGACTAGCAAACATGGTTTACATGGCAAGTGTGTGAAGCATTTGGAATCTTACCAAACCAGCAAAAATCAGTGAATAAAACATGTGAAAATATGCCCAAATAACCATGGAGATGCAACCAATACATGCAAAAATGATGAATCTCACCAAATCAGAAAAAATCAGTGAATAAATCATGTGAAAATAGGCCCAAATAACCACTGATATGCAACCATGGTATGCAAAAATAATGAGTTACTTTGGAGGGCCATGCAAGGAGTTATTAAGCACATGCAAGGTAGACATTTAGCATGGCATAAAAAACTATGAAAATCAAATATGGTAGTCCTAAAACTCACCAAATTGACCCTGGAAAGTGACTTCAAAGCATGCAAGATAGGGTCTCTTTGGAAGGCCAAAAATGACCACCAAACAAGTCAAGGTGAGAGGGGGTCACCCCCCTCTGATTTGGAGGCTCAAAATAGTGTGCTAGCCACTGAAAATCCACTAGATTTCAGTATCTAGAAGTCCAAACCAAGCATGCAACAAGACCTTAGGTGTAAGGCTCAAAATAAGGGACAATCAAGCATACAAGGAAGCATATGACCTCAAACAAGAAAATTCCCTTAACAAAACATGAATATGATGTCAAAAGAAGACTCTTTTCAGTTTATAACAAATCTCAAAAGTGAACACAAATAGGGCTAATCTATTATGCAAAAATGGTCCTAAAGGAGAGATTAGAGACAAGGGACAGCAGCTGGTGCCAAACAGAGGAGAGCCCTTCAACAAAGTTGAAGAGGGTCTCAATATAATACATTTTACAGTTTATATCAAGTCTCGAAAATAAACACAAGTGAGGCTAAAACAACGTGCAAGAAAAAGGCCTAAGAGAGGGATAAAGAGACAAGTGGTAGAAGCTGGCCTCAAACAGAGAAGAGCCCTTCAACAAAGATGAAGAGGGGCTCAAAACAAGACATTTTATAATTTATGACCAAATCCAAAACAGCTCAAAAATAAGACTAAAATACCATGCAAAAATAGGCCTAAAAGAGAGATTAAACACAAAGGGTAAGGAGAAGACCTCAAACAGCAAAAAGCCTTGATCAAACATGAAGAGGATCTCAAAATATGACTATTTACAGTTCAGGTCGGTGCTCAAAAATGTAAGCAAAAGGGGCTAAGATATAGAACAAAATAAGGCAAGAAAGAGGGAGAAGAGGACTCACCCTTGTAGCACAAATCTTCAGTAGCTTTTGGACCAAGGAAAGGTGATCCTAACTTTAGAAAAATTGCCTCAAGTTGCTGGAATGGAGTGTGGAGGTTGTAGGCTTGGGGGTGGTGTGTAAAGGGTGCATGAACCTTATGGTTTGGAGGATTGAATGAGAGATATAGAGGGTGTATGTATCAATGCCTCAGCTGGTTTTTGTAACCCTTAGAAATGAGGTAGGGTGCTGGTTATATAGAGGGAGAGAGGTTAAGAAAAAAGCGGGGGAAAAACAAATTCAAATTTTCCCCCCAAAAGGCAGCCCCTCGAATGCAGAATCTAGGCGAAAACAGCTGGCACAGCTGGAATACACTTGGAGAGAGGATCATGGCCGGCCAGGTTCAAAAGGTTCAGGTGGCCGGCCAGCCACCCCTCCTGGCCGGCCGGCCAGGGGTCAAAAGGGTCAATCAAAATTGCTGGTCGGCCACCCCAAAAAGGTGGCCTCCCATGTGTGCACAACACAAATATGTGGTCAAAACCCAGAAAATGTGAACCAGGAGAGAGAAAAGCCAACTTCTTAGAGGGGTTCAAAAGGGTCAGAGACAATTACTGGCCGGCCTATTCATATTGGTGGCCTCCCAGGTGTGTACAACACAAATATGGGGTTTAGGGCTAAAGAAAGTGGCCCGAGAGTGGTCAACATTAGCTTTCTAGTGAGGAAAACGGGCGACGGAGAGCGATGAAGAGATAAAACTGGCTTTTCCAAAAAATTGCTGGCCTCCCACCCTCCTACAAGCTTTCTAACACTGAAAATAAGGTTTCCACCAAAAATGAACGAAAACGAATGCAAAACGGGGGTTCGGGGACCGAAACGCGCGGCCCGGGGCCTCGAAAATGGGCTGTTAAACACCGGAGGTGGCATTCGACCACAAAGTTGGTCTCTCGAGCCACAGTCTCCCCCAAAAGGGAGTAAATAAGATGTGTGCCAAAAATCGGAGCAAACAGAGGTGGTTAGGCGGTTCTGAACCGAGGCACACGGCCGACGGCACCGAAAAATTGGAAACCGGGCTCCAAACGGGAAAAATGGCCTACGACCATGAAACGTAGCCTACGGCCACTGAAAGATGGTCTATGAGACCTCTCCCTCCCATTGGGAAGACAAAATAGAGAAAACGGGACCTGGTTCACAAACCGAGGCAAAACACGAAAGAGCCCGGAAGTCCGAAGGTAAGGCTCGCAGTCGAGACTCTACAACCTCAGAACGAGCACAATATGCGACATCACCAAGCGCTCAATCGGTGACGTCTGCGTCTTAAGGTCAGTCAAAAATGGGGTGTCTACAGTCGGACACATCACTTGCCTATCGAAGCTAAAGACGTGTGTTATCGGATTCCAAAACCTCGCCGCGGCATGATGAAACGGAATGTGCAACGAAGTACGGCTCAGCGTGAATAGTGCATTCAAGCCGAAGCCCCGGAAGTTCAACTTTTTCGAGCCATCTAGAGAAACAATCCGAGTTGTGAGATTTTGGGTGAGAAATGCTTCCATTTTGGTGCAAAACTAAGATGAAATGAGAGAACCACGAGGCTGGAGTTCTTAAAGAGGATAAGGCACTGTTCGGAGGACACATGTCAAAAATTTGGTGGTTGCCAAGCTAGGTGGCCGGCCGACCACCTTTTCTGGCAGGCCGACCACCCTCTCCCCTCCAATGCAAAAAGCTGGTCGGCCAGCTCCCTTAGGTGGTCGGCCATCAAGAGAAGGGTGGCTTTAGTCTTGTTCTAGCCTCTAGAAGAAAATTACAAGCATTTCCATGCATTGGGGGCGTTAAAGGTGCGAGTTTTCCTCTGTTTCGGATGCGTTCCGTGACCCAGATCGTCCGAAATGCATTTGTTTATCGAGTTGTTGTTAAATCCTGCTTATTGAGTTGTTGTTTTTGCTTATCGAGTTGTTGCTTTGCTTACCGATTTGTTAAGCTTACCAAGTTGTTAAGTTTTGTCGAGTTGACGAGTTTTGTGTATTGAGTTGTTACTCTTTGTTTATCAACATTGTTGTGTCTTGCTTATCAAGTTGTAAACTTGCTAAGGTTCTGTCCTTTCTTAGTAAGTTAAGTTGCTTTGTTTGTTGCGTCGGTTCACTGCCTGACTTGGCAATTTTCAATGCACGATTTCCATTCAATCTCATTTTTGTGCAAAATAATGTGATGCGATGCAAGAACATAAAATACAACATTTTTTTGAACAAAAGCTGTTTCATTTCATCATGTTTCCTTTGTTACAACATTTTACAACAAGGGTACAAGTTTTACAGAAAATAAAAACTGCCTAATAATGTGCAATGTGGTACAACTACTAGTAAAAAAAGGCAAATAAAGCAGGAACATCAATGCTCTCAAGCACAGGAGTAAGAGGCCCTCTTCGTCCTCTTCTGCGGAACAGCCTCAGCAACATCATCGCCATCTGAGTCAGAGCTGTCATCCTCGAGATCCTCCTCGGCATTACCTTCGCCCGCAGAGCCAGACTCAGAGTCATCCTCTCTGCCAGCAGATGTCTCTGACTGACGATGAGCGGACTCTCCTCCTCACTGAACTCCTCCTCAATGATATGTGCTCGGCGCCCGCCTCGTCTGTGAGACGACTCCCCTCTCCTGGCTCCTGGAGAAGGCCTAGATGGCCCAACTCCTTGGGAAGGCCCAGATGGCCCGGCCTGTGGTCTGGTATATATCGGAGGCATCTGAAAAGAACGAGTGCAATTTGAATACATCAGCCAAAATATGTATATCAGATGCACAGATAAAAGCTACATGGAGTGGATGTATGCAAATATAGTACATGGATGTGGTGTGTGTCAGATGTGCTCTCCGCATACAGTCGGTCAATCAATGCAGTGAAATGTTCAAATTCAGCATGTCATCAGAAATATGATGAATGCAAGAAAACTGAACAGTACCGAGACGCCCATGATGGACAGTTGCGCCTCTCTCCGCAAGACCATGCCTTCGAGCGAGGCCACTAACCCGAGTAACCCCTCAGCATACTCTGTGGTAGGCTGCAGATGCAAGTGCAAATCATCAGTGAATGAATGAATGTCCAAGTATCTGAGTGATAAAGCGAAGCTGTAAAACGTACCGGTGGTGAGTCAGAGTCTCTAGTGTATGGATGATCTGGCATAGGAGGCTATAGCAGAATTGGGTAGGAAGCCCCGTATCTCCATCCCGCCAACTCAGTCGAGATACCTGGCCATCCGGCATGATGATAAGTGGAGGGAATCGGAGGGACCAGTCCAGCACCACCTCTGGATGTGCCACCCCTATTCGCTGAAGGAATGTCTCTGGCTCGGGTGCGACTCGAAGACGGCATGCCGGTAGACCTCCTCGAGGGAGTGCGAACACCTGTTAATGGAGACATCAAGTAGGTGTGACGGTAGGTCGCGTACTTCCCGTCCTCCAAATACAACAGTGCCTCAATGCCCAGCCTGGCATGAATGACACCCTGGGGAGTAAGCCTATCAGCGAGCCGCATATCATCTGGGCGTGCTAAAGGGACACTCGTCTCAGGGAAGCCCATAGTCTGATGAAGAAAGCGTTCCCCCATGAACCAGGCCCTACCAACTGGCCCCTCGAACAAGATCCTATACCGGGAGGAGGCCCATCCTCCGGCAAACTGGAATTGGAGATCCTCACCCAAAGGCGCCCAGAGCTGCCATAAGATCTGCAGATAGCCAAAGCATAAGCCGATTAGAAATCGCAAATGTGCAAAATAAATCAAAGATGAACACGAGAAGAACTGAGAGTTCTGACATACCTCGGTCGCCCGCACCGTGTCAGAATACTACCGCAGGTAGGGGAGAGTCTCCCGGGGCTGCGACCGGTACTGGCCCTCGAAGACGAGCGAATAAGTGGTCATGAGAGGGGCCTCCTCCTCGAGCTCTAGGATAGCGTCGGAAAGTACGCGAAGACCCATAACTGTGGAAAACATTGCAAAAGCCATCTGAATACAGAATGCTGAGGGCAGAATGTAAGTACAGAATGTAAAGTGTGCCGTGTGTGCAATATACGGATAATGAAAAGCAGAAATGTGAATCAAGAGGGCATAAGGTACCTCCCAGGCTCTCCAATAGCCACTGACTATGTTCCCCGCCCGCCCGCGGGAGGTCGCATCATATAGAATAGAGGGTAGCCAAGCTGGCGCCACCCCAGTCATATTGACTAACCTGTGTGAGGTCTACCAAGGCACTCGGCAAATATAGCCAACGGTGTTTCCCCTGTCGGCAAACAGAGTGGTCCCGAAGAGGAACATCAAAAACCCGCGGGCTGTGCGTTGCAATCTCTTCAGGAGTCTCGGGCTCAGTCCCCCTGAACTATGTAGAAAACCAGGTATATCGGACTGGCCCGAAGAACGGTCGACCGGTGGGCGAGCTCCCAACAGATGAATCCAGGCAGCCTCTCACTCGCCCATGTCCTCGTCGTAAGGGATCGCCCAGCCTCTCACGTCAAGGCCCGTCACACGGCGAAGTCAAAGTGGGTCCATGGTCATGTCCCCGGCGGCTGAGAAATGGAAGGAGTTGGTGGTGTCCCACCATCAATGTCCGGCTAGCTAGGTAGCGAGATATCCCGGTACAAAAGGTCCCAAATCCAGCCAGAATAACCTAATCGCGGACAGCCCCGGGAGCTCCGCGTACCAATCTCTCGCAGCAATAGAACTGTATCCCCGTGTAATGCGGGAGGACGTCTGCATTCATAACGAACACATGTATTCAGTTTCATAATGGAATGAATAAACTGTGTGCAAATGAAAGATATGAGCTGTGTACAAATCAAATCAAAATCAATCAAATGTGGGCTGCGTGTGTCAATCGATTATTGCTGCGGTCTCCAAATTATGTTGTGTTCAGATTTCAGAAATTTAAAGTTTGGGCTGCGTGTTCAACTTTCAATCAAATGTGGGCTGCGTGTTCACCATCAAATTTGGGCTGTGTGTTCAGATTTCAGAAATTTAAACTTTGGGTTGCATGTTTAACTTTCAATCAAATGTGGGCTGCGTGTTCACCATCAAATTTGGGTTGTGTGTTCAGATTTCAGAAATTTAAAGTTTGGGCTGTGTGTTCAACTTTCAATCAAATATGGGCTGCGTGTTCACAATCAAATTTATGCTGTGTGTTCAGATTTCAAAAATTTAAAGTTTGAACTGCGTGTTCAACTTTCAATCAAATGTGGGCTGCGTTTTCACAATCAAATTTGGGCTATGTGTTCAGATTTCAGAAATTTAAAGTTTGGGCTGCGTGTTCAACTTTTAATCAAATGTGGGCTGCGTGTTCACCATCAAATTTGGGATGTGTGTTCAGATTTCAGAAATTTAAAGTTTGGGCTGCGTGTTCAACTTTCAATCAAATGTGGGCTGCGTCTTCACAATCAAATTTGGGCTGTGTGTTCAGATTTTAGAAATTTAAAGTTTGGGCTGCGTGTTCAACTTTCAATTAAATGTGGACTATGTGTTCACAATCAAATTTTGGCTGTGTTCAAATTTCAGAAATTTAAAGTTTTTGCTGTGTGTTCAACTTTTAATTAAATGTGAGCTGCGTGTTCACCATCAAATTTGGGCTGCGTGTTCAGATTTCAGAGATTCAACTGTTTGAGCTATGTGTTCAAGACAGAGTATTGTCTTATAGACTAAGCGTGCAGAACAAGTTGTCTGCTAAAATGAGCAGAAGTATGGCATGCGAATGTGTTCAGAACGAGCAATAAGCATACATAGCATGAAATGCAAGGAAAATGCAGAATTAAGGCAGGAAATGTGAAAAGGTGAGTACGTAACCTCTCGTGCCTGATGGGAGAGATGGGACTCCGGCTCCCGCAGTAGCAGGTCCACAGGAGCTCGAGGGTCGAAGTCATGTGAAACGGTGAAGTACGTACCTCTCGTGCCTGATGGGAGAGATGGGACTCCGGCTCCCGCAGTAGCAGGTCCACAGGAGCTCGAGGGTCGAAGTCGGTAAAGTGGTAAAAAATCGCCCGAGGGAGGACATGAGTCGGAGGATCGTACCTTTCGGGGATGAAGGGACGAACCCTCGGATGCAAAGACACGATGTTAGGCTCGCCTCCGGTGCCTGGAGAACCTCCGCCGTGGGGAAATTGACCTGCCATTTCAAGAAATCTGTAAAAAGAAGCAAAAATGAGCGAAATGAGCCAAAATTAGAAAAAGCCATTTTCAAAGAATCTGCAAAAGGAGCAAAAATGAGCGAAAATGAGCCAAAATTGGAAAAAGTCAACAAAAGTCAACTCTCGGGAAATGAAAAAGTCAACAAAAGTCAACTCCCGAGAAAATCTTCCAAATATTGAGACAAACTTACCTCAAGTGGTGAAAATGAGAAAAGAAGCCCCGAAATCAAATTTTAATCGGTTCAAAGTGAAGAAAACTGAAAGTTTTCGCGAAACAACTTGGCGTGGGGCGTTGGAAAACGCGTATATAATGCAGATCTGAGAGAGAAAATGGTTTAGGAAGGAGGAGAAGGTAGTTTCAGAGCTGAAGTTATGAGGAAAAGGTGTTTGGCTTTGTATATTTAAAGAAATGAGAGCAAACAGACCAAACTGCCCCGGATTTGGGTTAGGCGGTCTGTCGGCCACCTTTTCTGGTAGGCCGACCACCCCTTGCACTCCAACCTGGTCGGTGGCCTCCCCTGGACTCCAAACCTAGTTGGTGGTGTTCCCAAGGTGGTCTCCAAGGTCTCTGCAAATTTTGGTAGTCATCGGAGTCCCCAGCACCTGAGAAAGTACAAGAAAAGTGCACTTTTCGTCGCGAAATCCCTCCGTAGGAACTCCAACTCCAACTTTCGATGAGTGTTTCATCGTCATTCATCAAGAGCAAGATGTATCCTTTTTGAGCATGATGTGACCCTTCCGGGAGGTAAATCGGAGGTCGTGATTGAGTCACACTCGTCGAAATTTGCATTTCTTTGCTCGTTGTTTCGTGTCAAACATGCGTTCGAATTTGCACTTATCCTGCTTATCCTGCATTGTTATGCACGTCACTTGCATTCTCATGCATACCACTTGCATTGTTGTGCATGTTTCATTGGTATTGTCATACCTCCATGCTTAACTTGCGTTGTCACGCGCGTGTCTCTCGCATTGCGATACGCTTTCCCATCGGCACCCCGTTTGTCTGCATTCGATGTAGCATTGAACATGTGTTGCTAATGATGTTGTACTTGTTAAGTTTTTTTCTCTTTCAGGCACGATATTGTATGTACAGTTTATTTGAAGCTGGTGCGACCAGACGAATCGCCCAGGTATTGTATCTTCTCCGTGTGAGACGTAGCGAGAATTGAATAATTCTCTGCATTCTTAAACCGCATGAAATATAGTTATTGCTTTGCATTCTTACTTAAAATTGTTGCGTGTGCGCTTTATTACAGCTTGCTGCTTTGCATAATCATGAGTTATATCCGGCTTTGTGCATACCATTTTGCATTTTGCCCTTGCCTGCGAGCACATCTTTGTTATCTTGTATGTTTGTCTAAGTCTTCGGCCTTGTAAAAAATGGGTCGTCTCTGGGCTTTGACATTCACTCCCGTCACTTATGACTTTCGAGTTCTGTCAAAGAGGGGAAACTGTAGACACCCCATTTTTGACCGACCTTGAGACTCAGATGTCACCAGTTGAGCGCTTGGTGATATTGCATATTCTGCTCGTTCAGAAGTTTCAGAGTCTCGGCTGTGAGCCTTGCTTCCGGACTTCCAGACCTTTTCATACTTTGCCTCGGTTTGTGAACCAGGCTCGGTTTTCTCTGTTTTCTCTTCGCGAAGGGAGGGAGAGGTCTCGTAGATCATCTCTCAGTGGCCGTAGGCTACCTTTTGTGGTTGTAGGCCATTTTGCCCGTTTGGAGTCTGGTTTCCGGTTTTTCGGAGCCGTTGGCTGTGTGCCTCGGTTCGAGACCGCTTAACCACCCCCATTTGCTCCGGTTTTTGGCATGCATCTTATTTACTCCCTTTTGAGGGACACTGAGGTCTGAGAGACCCACTTCGTGGTTGAATGCCACTTTCGGTGCTTAACAGGCAGTTTTCGGGGCCCCGAACTGTGCGTTATGGCCCCCGAACATTCGTTTTGCATCGGTTTTCGTTCATTTTTGGCAGGTACCTCTGTTTCATCACCAGGAAGGCCGTAGAAGGGTGGGAGGCCAGCA